ATGGAAAGACATTCCATGCTCATGGATGGGAAGAACAAATATTGTCAAAATGTCTATACCACCCAAAGTAATCTATAGATTTATAAAATCCCTATCAAAATCTATAGATTAACTAAATCCCTATCAAAATACCACCCAAAGTAATCTATAGATTAATAAAATCTATTTTATTAATAAAATCTATAGATTAATAAAATCCCTATCAAAATACCAACAGCATTTTCCACAGAGCTAGAACAAACAATCCTAAAGTCTGTATGGACCCACAGATGACCCCGAATCGCCAAAGCAACACTGAGAAGGAAAAGCAAAGTCAGAAACATCACAGTTCCGGACCTCAAGTGAAATTACAAAGCTGCAGTGATCAAAACAATATGGTCCTGGCACAGAAACAGACACACAGATCAATGGAACAGAAGAGAAAACCCAGAAATGGATCCACAAGTGTAGAGTCCACTCATCTTCAACAAAGCAGGAAAGAAGGTCCAGGGAGAAAAAGACAGTCTCTTCAACAACTGGTGTTGGGAAAACTGAACAGCAACATGCAGAAGAATGAAACTGGGCCACTTTCTTACACCAGACACAAAAATAAATTCAAAATGGATGAAAGACCTAAATGTGAGACCTGAAGCCATCAAAATCCTAGAGGAGAACACGGGCAGCAATCGCTTTGACACTGGCTGCAGCAACTTCTTTCTAGGTATGTCTTCCTGAGGCAAGGGAAGCAAAATAAAAATGAACTATTGGGACTTCATCAAGATAAAAAGCTTCTACACAGCAAAGGAAACAATCAACAAAACTAAAAGGCAGCCTACAGAATGAGGGATGATAACTGCAAATGACGTATCTGATAAAGGGTTAGTATCCAAAATATATCATGTATAAAACTCAACACCCAAAAAACAGATAATCCAGTAAACAAATGGGCACAACACATGAATAGACATTTTTCCAAAGAAGATATCCCGATGGCCAACAGACACATGAAAAGATGCTCAACATCACTCATCATCGGGGAAATACAAATCAAAAACTACGATGAGATATCACTTCACACCTGTCAGAATGGCTAAAATTAACAGCACAGGAAGCAAGAGGTGTTAGTGAGGATATGGAGAAAGGGGAATCCTCTTATATTGTTGGTGAGAAAGCAAACTGGTGCAGCTACTCTGGAAAACAGTATAAACGTTCCTTAAAAGTTAAAAATGGACCTACCCTATGATCCAGCAATTACACTACTAGGTATTTACCCAAAGTATACAAAAAATACTAATTAGAAAGGGTACATACACCCCAATATTTATAGCAGCATTACCAACAATAGCTAAAATATGTAAAGAGCCCAAATGCCCACTGACTGATGAATGGATAAAAAAAAAAAGTGGTAAATATATACAATGGAATATTACTCAGCCATCAAAACTAATGGATCTTGCAATTTTGCTATGACATGGATGGATCCAGAGAGTATTATGCTCAGAGAAGTAAGTCAACCAGAAAAAGACAAATACCATATGATTTCACTCATATGTGGAATTTAAGAAGAGATGAACATGGGTGGGAGGAGCAAACCGGAAAAGAGAATCTTAACTACAGAGAACAAATTGAGTGTAACTAGAAAGGAGGTGGGCAGTGGGATAGTTTAAATGGGAGATGGGTATTTAGGAAGGCACTTGTAGTGATGAGTACTGGGTGTTGTATATAAGTGATGAATCACTAAATCCTACACCTAAAACTAACATTACACTGTATGTTAACCAACTGGAATTTAAATAAAGACTTTAAAAAAGGGATGAGGGTTAATAAGGAAAAAGGACAACAGCACAGCTAAAAAAGAATTTTTTTAAATAAATAAAATGGATTCTCCAAAAAAATCTACCATGATGGGGTTTTATGAAAGTTAAGTGTGTATGTGTGGACATATAAAGAAGTTAGGGGAACAAAACTATGACTACAAATCTACAGACTTATATATAACTATTTCATGATAAACTTTCAAGTGAAAAGAAAAATTTAGCAAAGTACTGTGTATGGTGATTCAACTTTAGTAAAAACAAATTAAGTCCCTATGCTATATAAATAAGGAGAAAGGGGTGCAAGGATGCCCACTAGGCTATTAATGTTAATTCTATTAGGGGAAAAAGTAGAAGAGAGGATACTTTTATATGTCTTTGTACTGTATTATTTCAAGAAGTATTTATTGTTTCAAGAAGCATTTATTAATAGCCTTAAAAACAGGCTTTAAGAATCCTTAAAATTTTTAATTTAAAATTTTAAAATGCAAGATGGACAACAATCTAAAGCAATATCTTAGTTGTGTAAACTAAGGTATAAGATTGGTATGATCTATGTACATGCTAGACATGTCAACAGTGTCTTCTGATACGCCATAAACCCTGCTAAATGTCTGTCTTTCACTCACCTGTCATAATTCAACTGACGTAGAAATGGGAGTCTAAAAAAAAGTCAGATAATCATAAATACACCAGTCACCTATGACATAATCTGATACATTAAAAAAAAAAGCAAGATCAATCAAATGCCTCTCCCAATAATTTTAACAAGTCAATAAAAAAAAAAAAACAAGGTAATTAACAACCAGGCACTAAGGCTTAAAAAATGCATAAATGTGCGACAAAGAAAATAGGACTTAAGATGGATAAAATGAAATTATAAGGAACAGAAATCACATACAAATAAGCAAGAGCTATGAACATAATAAAATATAGAGAGAATAAGCTAAATAGGACAGTGCAAAGAAAAAGGAACATCCAGAAATACTAACCCTAGAGTTATTTCAAGGAAAAAATTATACAAAAACTGCAGATCCAAAAGAATGAATTAAAAGTTGCAGCAACTGGCCTAATGAACCCTTCTCTGATGTCTAACCAAAAGGATAAGAAATAGATTACTTTTCTATTTCATCTTCTAAGGATTTCTAAAATATTCTTTTAGTATAATGTTCTTTCCATTTCAATTCAAATCCATAATTCAACAACCTCCCAACCTAGAAGGCCGTGGCCAACAGACCTAGAAATTCAAAAAAAATATCAGACTTTAATAGTGAAAAAATAAGGTTAATAAGTTAAGATGAATGAGAAAAGTAAATAATAGTGTAAAAGTCCTAGGGTATCCCTCTTTAAATCAATGAATAAACATTATTTGAGGGTCCTGGGTATTTTTACCATGTTTACAAACAAGTATACAAATAGCAAGTTTTCCTTCAACAACAAAATCAGTAAAGGTATAGTTTATTTATCTATAAAGAAGAAGATAAAAAGAGAATGTAGTGGCACAGATCGAAGAGTGGTACAATGAAAAATTAATTTACAGAATTAATAAGGTAGATGTTTTATCTTCCACTACAGATTTAAATATTGCTCCTGTAACCAAATCTCAAAAACATATTAAAAGGCCATAAAACAAAAAAAGAAAGAGTATGTAACTAAAAAAATGTAAATGGTTTCAGTATAGTTGTACCTACTCTACATGAAAAGGATTCAGAAAAAGCAAACACTGACATTATTTGTAGACCCTGAATCATCTAACCAAGTGCTTCCCAAAAATACATTCAACAGAACTCTAGTCTCTCAAGCTACATGTGGAAAAAAGCAAATCAAATAACTTTGGGGAAAGATGACTATATATCCAACACCTGCCCCAACTCAGAAGGTCACAATGCATATTAGCACATTAAAGTTCTAGGAATGTCCAAAATAAAGGAAACTGCTTAATACTTATTAATCCACTATTTTTCAAATTGATTTGACCTGGAAATACTAGCTGCCTCTAAATACTTATCAGTGTGCTATAAAACTAATGTTCTGTGAAATATAATTTAGACAGACTAATATTAACCTATGATGAAGCATAACAATACCATTTGTTTTTCATTCAATACTTTTTTTTTTTTAAGATTTTATTTATTTATTCATGAGAGACGCAGAGAGAGAGGCAGAGACACAGGCAGAGGGAGAAGCAGGCTCCATGCAGGGAACCTGATGTGGGACTCGATCCCAGGTCTCCAGGATCACACCCTGGGCTGAAGGCAGCCCTAAACTGCTAAGCCACCGGGCTGCCCTCATTCAATAATTTGTTATAAAAAATTTCAAATATACAGAAAAACAGAAAGATGATCACAATGATTGATCAAATACTCTATACCTAGGTTCAATAGTTAACATTTTACACATTTGCTTTGTTTTCCTCCTAATGTTATATTTATTACAAATATAATTTACAAATATATAAAAAAAACAGCAGACACACCATAAAAGATAAGACAGATGGCAGGTAAGCAGGTAGATACAGAGAGAGACGAAGGATGGCTGATTCCTCATACAGTCTTGGTTACTTCTCTTCCTGAATAGGAATAATAGGACAGCGCAAAAAAACAGCCTTAAAAAGTAAATCTTTTAGGGACGCTGGGGTGGCTCAGTCAGGTAAGCATCTGCCTTCAGCCTGGGTCATGATCTCAGGGTCCCGGGAGAGTTCTGCTTCTCCCACTATCTCTGCCTCTGCCCCTGCCCCTCCCTCTCTCTCTCAAATAAATAAATATTTTTTTTTAAAGTGTATCTTTTAAATCACCTGTCTACAAAGGTGTTTTTTAATTAAAGAATAAACAAGTTTTTACAATCATATAACATACAAAACGTTAGACTTCTAAGTCTAGATATACAAAACAATCCCTATTAAAGGATTATAATAATTAACAAATCTTAATATTTGGAAATTATAAATGTTTGCTTGATAAAGCAAATAAAAAAATCATAGTTTCAAAAAGCATAAAATTAGTACAGGATTTCTACTAACTCTCAAGATGAACTATGGAAGTGAGAAAATATTGTTATTTTTAATATACTGAATCCTAACTCAATTAGTAAATTAAAAAATCAGGCAGATTTTTTAAAAACTCAAAAAACAAAATCCATCTTAAAATTTTAACTAAATGTGAAAATACATGAATGAGGTTAAACATAAGAAAGAAAATATTTACTAACCTTTATTTCCTAACATCACAGCAAGATGTAAAGGAGTGTTTCCTAAAATTAAAAAAAAAAAATTAAATTAGTATAAAAACATAGGAAATCTTATTTAAAAGTGGTTTTGGTTCCTTCAGAAATTTCACTGGCAGATTTTAAGCAAAACTACGGTGACTACAAAATGTTCTTGCTTATGTGGCAAATTCAAAGTCAGTCAAACACCATGGTTTCTAAACACAATGTGTTCCACCTCCCCCTTCAACACCCACCATAAAAAGGATGCCCAGTTTACTTTTGAGGTTTCTTCTCCCAATAGATTTCACAGATTCCTTTGCTACTAATTTCTCTATATATCGCTCTTTGTTCATTCAGCAAAGAATTTAAATATCTACTATATATTCATCTTTGGAGACAGATATCAAAAAGACCCAATCCCAGCCCTCAAGTTGTTCAGAAGTCTTAAACTGATAGGAAAATAAATAATTGCTATTACTATTTATTAGAACAGAAGAGAGTATAGCATGTTAGTGGGACATAAAACAGACCTCCTAATTTTGCCTGTGCAAATAGAATTAACTATTGGAGAGGGACCAGACTAAAATGAGTCTTGACGAATGGGTTAGAAATTTATAGGCAAACAAAGCAACACAGACTAGTATTCCATGTTAAAAACAATTCCCTCAAATTACTTTCAAATGGAAGAACAGTTTATATTTAGAAAACAAACAAATATGACTAGTGGGGGTAAAAGAGAATAGTAAATAATGATATTGGCAAGATGAGCAAAAGAAAATTAATGTGAATTATAGGCTATGCTACAAAGTTTAAACTAGATCCTATTAGTTGATCTTATGCAATGATTAATTTAATTTCAAAATGGTACCCTAAGCCACACTAGTAACCTAAAAACATTTTCATTATAAAAGAAAGCAAAACTACAGTGATACTTGAAAATAAACTTACTGAATTAATGTACACTGATTTTCAGATATGAGCATTTTTACAGAAGGCACATGAATAATTTTTACCAATAAAATCATGTACAGAATAAAACAAGATTTGACATTTTTTAAAAACCTTATATATGATCTACCTCAATCTCTTAGCTTGACAAAAACTGCCAAAATGGTTAACACACATACACACACACACACAAAATCTTTTGCTCAATAAAAGCACAATGGAATATGAATTGTTGGCTGTAAATACGGCAAATAGTATGTTGTGCAAAATTTAGAAGTGTAATAAATTCATTAAACTTAAATTTTCTCTAATTTTACAAAACAAAAAATCTGGACTACAATAAATTTTTTGATCTTAACTATTGGGAACAACAACAAAAAAAAAAAAAACAGATTTGGGGAACATAATCCAGATTATGTTCTTCCAAAATCAAATTTCCCTTAGCGATGAGGGAAACTCCCCAGTTTTCACATCTCATAACTAATTCTAGTTGATATGCAAACTTTACTAATAATCATACATTGAAGCATGTCCCCCCAAAAAAGGTTTTGCTTATAATACTAAGTGAACTTCACTAGTTGCCAAGTTATTGGTATAAGCTATTTTCCAAAAGACAAACTTCAGTCCTCCAAATATTTAATACCCTTTAGGGAGCTAGGTATCTTCTTTTATGCTAGTTATAAAAGTTTATCTAGTCCTACAAGTTTGTATTTTTATTCTATAGAATCAATATTTACCATTTTTGGTGCTCTTCATTCCTTTCTTCATCTCTAACCTTCCATCAGACTCATTTTTCTTCTACCCAAAACATATGCTTCAAGATTACCTTTTGTGGAGGTTTGAGATAAGTGAATTTTTTGTTTGTAAACACATATTCAACTTCAATCTTGAAGAATATTGTGCTGAGCACATAATTATTGACTGGCTGTTATCCCTTCCTCCCCCCCCCCCCCCCCCCCCCCCCCGCAACCAAAACCCAGCACTCTATGTGGTCCTAGGGTTCCTTTTTTGCTGCCAGGCCAGCTATAGGACTTTCTACCCCTCCTCTGAAAGTAATGTGACATTTTGGGCTACATTTGTGGGTTGCTTTTAGTTGTTGTTGTTGTTGTGTTTTTAATTATCAGCCATTTCACTCCAATGTGAACTCCTTTTTATTCTGCTTGTATTGGACTTCTTGAGTCTTTGAGTCAGTGTCTTTCAACAATTTTGTAAAACTCTCAGCAAGTATCTCTCCAAATGTTGCTTTAGCTCCATTTCCTTCCTCTCTTCTCTCCTGGGGTTCAATTAATGTAGAATTTCTCACCCTTTCTATTTTTTTTTAACTTTCTTTCTTTCGCTTCCCATTTTCATTATAGATATAATATAAAGGTTCTTCTAACCTTTTTCCAAGATTATGAATTCTGTCTTCTTCAGGGTCTAAACCTCTTGGTAAGCCTATTTATTCTATTTGAATTTCAGGTTTTTATTTTTTCATTTGAGAATTTCTTTGTTCACTTTCAAATACATGATTTCAATTTTTAAATTTCAGTTCTCTGCTTAAATATTCAAACTTGTCTCTTACCCCCCAAGAACATAATAAGCATTGTTATTTAGAGCCTCTAATAAGAATTACAATAAACGAAGCTCTCATGGGTTTCTTTTCCCCTGGTTCTCACTCATGCTGTTCAGTCTCCAGAGAAACTGAACAGCATAAGTGGTCATCTTTAATTATATACTGGATATAGTATTTCATGAGCTCTCTATATAAAAATTTTGAAGCCTAAGAAACAAATCCTCCAGATACTTTCATTTGCTTTTGACATGTGGCTGGGGGTATGAGACCTCATTAATCCAGGGACTGACATTTTTTTCTGGCCTTCACAAATGACTCAAAGCTGCGCTCCAGCCTCCATCAGAGCTGATTCAGTTTTTGTTCACTATTATTCCTAAGGTATAAGCTCTTCAAGTTACAGCCCAAAAAGCAGAGTGTTTAAGAGATATCCCACCCTCGGTAGGCCCTGACCTCTATCTTTTGTCCTCTTAGCACAGTGAGGCTGTTAAAAGTGCAGCTCAGCCTCTAACTACTTCTTTTGGCTTTGCAAAAGCTACTGGAGAAAAATAACCTAAAATGCAAAGCTCAGATCTTTGGATTTCCATCTTTTGCCAGATCTTGGCCCAGTAACTCCTTCCTACGTCATTAGATCTCTAGTACCCTTAAGTTGAATATTTTATTCTTATTTGCTTCTAAGGAAGACTAGTCCTAATAATCTAGTCTATCATTACTACAAGCAGAAATTCTACTTTGATTTTATTTGCTAACTTTTCTCTCTATCTGTGATACTGTGCCTTCTATTCTTTGATACTGTTACTGCATAAAGATAATTTTATAAGCACTAATGATCATAACTTCTATCAAAATATAATTACTCTCTTAGTGCTTTTAAACCATTCTTATCAGTTCCATTTTATCAGTAATTAATCTTGCCATTCATATTCTTTTTACCACTAACAACAAATTTTCCATTTTTTCCAACCTCCATTAGATGTGTCCTTTTCTTCTCATTTACCAGATGTCACAGTTATTATTTTTGGAATTTTTTCCCCCTACTTCTTTCAGTAACAAATCTCATGCCTTAAATACATGAGCCAGGGAGAAGACATGACTTAAACCTAACCAGTCTGATATCCAATAGAAAACTGTTTCAGGGAAGGACACAATTCCCACCAAAGTCAAGGTTCTTTTCTGCAAACTACCTACCTACCTTTCCTTCCTTCTCTCCTTCCTTCCTCCCTCCTTCCCTCCCTTTCTTCATTCCTTTCTTCCTTTCTTTTAAAGAACTGGTAGGGAAGACTGTCTTTTGCTCCTGGAACCACAGTGCTTGAAGATGAGTATGGGACCAACTATTTTCTACAAATAAGTTAGTGTCCTCAATCAAGGACAATTTTTCCACCAAGGGAACAGCTGGTGGTGTCCAGTCCATTTCTGGTTATCAGAACTGAGGAGTGGGGGTGCTGATGGCATCTAGAGGGTAGAGGCCATGGATACTGCTAAATACCTTAACAATGCACAGGACAGCTTATTCCCACAAAGAATTCTCCAGCACAAAATGTCAAGTGCAGAGGTTGAAAACTGAAATAGATAAAGCCCAACTGCAACAGGAAAGAAGGAAGTTCTACATAATAGCAGACTAAGAAATTATTTAAAGAAAAAAAATTTTTTTTCTAAAGTCCTAAAAACACTGTAGGAGGTCTAGATACATGCATGTCCAATATTTGCTCCTACCCTATCATTTTCAGTTATATGAACCAATAAATGCCTTTGGGCTTAAGCTAGTTTGCAGTTGAAGCTTAAGCTTTGGGCTTAAGCTAGTATGAGTTTCACTTATAATGGCAAGAATCATTACTAATACAATATAGGAATAGAAAACCTTATTTGCCATAACCATACTTTGGGAGACTGCTATTTTTTAAGCACTTTTGCTTTGCTCCTCTATTCTTTTTTTTTTTTTTGACTATGTAAATGTAATTTGTAATTTATCTTCTGCAATAACACAATATAGGCAGATATATTTTAAATTATATTTGTTGCAAAATTAATGCCTTTTTAGAAAATATTTTCAAACTCACAATTATCTAACAAAGTAAAAAAAAACCACACATTTTTTTTCTTTTTTAAGATTGTATTTATTTATACTTTATCCAGCAAGGCTCTCATTCAAAATGGAAGGAGAGATAAAGAGCTTCCAAGACAGGCAGGAACTGAAAGAATATGTGACCTCCAAACCAGCTCTGCAAGAAATTTTAAGGGGGACTCTTAAAACTCCCCTTTAAGAAGAAGTTCAAGTAACTCTGAACGTGAATGGGCTTAATGACCCCATCAAAAGGCGCAGAGTTTCAGACTGGATAAAAAAACAGGACCCATCTATTTGCTGTCTACAAGAGACTCATTTTAGACAGAAGGACACCTACAACCTGAAAATAAAAGGTTGGAGAACCATTTACCATTCAAATGGTTCTCAAAATATACCCTAAAAACTACAGAACACTTCTGAAAGAAATTGAGGAAGACACAAAGAGATGGAAAAATATTTCATGCTCATGGATTGGCAGAATTAATA